AGGGGCCGGCGGGTGAGGATGGCCACCAGCCAGCAGCCGTGCAGGATGACCATAAAGTTCATGCGCTGCCCGATCACGTTCACGGCCATCAGGAAGCAGATCTGGGGGTGGCAGAAGGGCAAGAGGAGATGAGAATGGGAGACAGAGGGAACTGGTGGAGGGCCTTTCTTGGATCTGCCTCCAGGCAGCCGGGGGCCCAGCAGGCTGGCTCGGAGGGGCACAGGCAGCACAGGGACAGAACACCTTCGCCTCGAGGCGGGTGGGCCTGCAGCCTGGGCTCACGGCAGCCCACGCCACGCTCCTGGAGGGATGGAGAGGTTGGACGTGGCTCCCCCGTGCCGGGGGGGGAGACTGAGGCGAGGAGGCTCTGTGGCAAAGCTGAGACTCTGACCCCGTCTCCAGCCCGAGTCCTGGCCCCCCTGTCCTCACCCCACAGGCCAGCCTTGCCCGGGAGAACACAGCACCCTTGGTGGTCCACCTCCTGTGCCCCCAGGCGGCCCTTGTGCACCTGTACACGGCAGATGCTCAACCAAGGCCCCTCCCCCGAGGGCGGCACAGACCTCTGATGGTGAGGGGCGACTCACCTCCAGCCCAAATTTGTAGAAAAAGAAGTTGATGAAGTATTTGACACAGCTAAGCAGGTCCCGGTCCAGCTGCTGGCGGGTGCCTTCGATGCAGACGGCCTGGGCGGGCAGCGGGGCCAGCTGGTGCTGCCGGCGGTGGTGCTCCTGGCGCCGGTACACGATGGCCTCGAACACCAGCAGCAGCAGGATCTGCAGGTGGTTCTGGGGAGGGGGACAGTGAGGCCCTCCAGTCTTGCCTCCAACCCCCAAATGCCCCAGTCTCCTCGGTCCCACCCCGCCCGCCGCCTTGGCCCTGCTCTCACCTGGATGTAGCCCAGGTTTGGGTAGCCCTTCCGCACCCCAAACCAGTTGGCCGGGTCGATGGGACCCCGGTACAGCAAGGACTGGTTGATCTCTGTCTTCTGCAGGTTGGTGCTATTGGGGAGGGGCTGGGAGACCGGGGCAGTGTCAGCACCTGCCCCCCGCTGGTCACTGGACGCTGACCCAGCCCTGCCTTGGGTCCCTGTCCCAACAGCAGCTCCAGAATAGGTCTGGGCCAGGTCACAGCTGCCCCCAGCCAGGGATACGGGGGAGCTGTCAGCCTCGAGACCACCTTAATGGAGAAGGGGACAGGGTGACTAGGGGTGGGGAGGCTTCGGCAGGGGTTGCGGGGGAAGTAAAGAGAAGCTCTGGGCAGGGGCTCCCCTGAGTGGCCTCCCCCTCCCCGGTCTGGCTGGGGCTCCCCTTCGCTTGAGGAGACATCTGGCCCCGGCACCACCTCACCCGCGACCTGTATTTCAGCAGCGAGTTAGCCGAGTCAGGACGCTTCTCTAGCCCAGACACCCTGGCATGGGGAGTGGGTCCCCCATAGACCGGGTCGAAGGACACCTCCTCCAGGCGGCCCCTGGCCCCGAGGATGGCCCTCTGCATCTGTCCCTCACACCCTGCACTAAAGGAGCCGTCCCTGCAGCCCCGCGTGGCGCACCTCAGTGCAGTTGTTGGAGTACTTGTGGGGGCTGACGACCTTGAGCTGGTAGAGCATCTTGCACACGATGATGATGCAGGTCCACACGGTGGACAGACAGGAGGCCATGGGCCGGAAGCGGGGGTAGGGCAGGGCGAAGGCCCAGAGCACCACCAGCAGGAGGTTCATCACTGACACCTGTGCGACAGCCAGGCAGGGGAGCTGAGCCAGGCAGGCGGGCACTCCCTCCTGCAGCCCGGGATCCGGGGAGGCCCACGGGGTGCCCCGAGGGGCCCCCTGCAGACAAGGGAGGTGTGTGTCCTCTCACCTCCTTTAGGGCCACCCAGACGGTGTACAGGGCCACCAGCTTAAAGATGTGCAGCTCCAGCAGGCGTCGCACAAACAGCTGCACGCGGGTGAGGACGTTCGAGAAGCTGGCGGACAAGTCCAGCAGCCGCTCGGCCACCAGGCCCCATTTGTTGGCTGTGACTGTGGGGGGTGGGGGGGGTGGGGGGGCAGGTGTTGAGAAGGGAACAGGCACTCTGGACCTGGGGCTGTTCTGTCCTGGGTAGACAAGGCTCCCCTGGGGCTCATAGGGGACCCACCCGGTGACCCGGCTCCTTGGCACCCTACACTCATCTCTCAGGGGCTGTACTCCCTTCTGACTTACCTTCCGGGACCTGCGTGGCCTGGTTGGAGCCAGCAGTGCCCCACCCCTGGTTCCTAGGGGCTTCCTCCTCCTCGTCCTGCTGCAACAATGGGGTCCCGCTCACTGCGTCCTGCCTAGGACAAACCCCAAAAGTGTCACTTCCTCCCAGTGCTCCTGCCCTCCTGGGCTAACAGTGCCCCCTCCTGCCTCTGCTGGGTGACCTGTGCTATTTGTGTGCAACCGTTAGGTCAGAGCATGAGGCCCAGCTGACTTTCCACCGTTGAGACCCCGCTGGGTCAGAGAAAACATCCCCTACCTAAGGCCCCTCGGCATTTGAAGACGATGGCCAAGGCCTTCCCATGGCTCTGGGTCCCCCACCCCCGAATCCCACCAGCCGCCTACCCCTCCCCGACAAGGCCCTTCTCTGTGCAGGTTCAAGGTGGAGACACTCTGCAAGCCCCTGTGCCCCCACTGCCCACCCCCCACCAGCCAAGACCAGAGCCCGCACTCCTCAGAGGCAGAGGCGGGCGCACCTGTGAGCCCAGCGGGGGCGGCAGGCGCCGGGCAGGGGGATGTGCTCCAGGTCGGTGAGCTGCATGAAGGGCTGGTGGAAGTAGTGCAGCTGCAGGATGCAGGCGAGCAGGAAGAAGCCAGGGATGAGGATGCTCGAGAAGAGCTCGGACACGCTGAACTGCTCCAGGCCCAGGTCCCCCAGCCTGTGCAGGGAGCACCGTCAGCACCGCCCGGCCCTGCAGTCCCCGACACAGAGCCTGGGGCCTGAGGAGACGAGGGGCCCAAGCCCGGGCCTCGCCCGCCTGCCCACCCGCTGGGGACTCACTGCTCGTCAGTGAAGCCTGTCAGGTTGCGCCAGTACATGGGGAAGTCCTGGAACTGGAAGGTGTAGACAGCGATGAGCACCAGCATGGTGTAGGCCACCACCAGCCACCAGAACACCTTGAGCAGCTTCCTCCACAGGCTGTAGTAGACCTGCAGGACGAGGTGTGTGAGGCGCCCTGCAGGGAGGCCGGTCTGCCTGAGGGTCCCACCTGCCCGCCCCAGGTACCTGGAAGAGGGTGAGGCAGAGCAGGAAGAGGAACATGTAGACGATCTTGTAGACGACGAGACGGCCTGCGAAGCTGACCACGATGAACATGCCGGCGCACACGTAGATCCAGTACTTGACATAGATGCCAGTGACCAGCTCCCCCAGGCTCCGGAGCAGCGTCCGAGTCCGCGTGGGCTCTGGGGGCCAAGCCAGGGGACCCGGGTGTGACTTCAGGATCGGGCGGGAGGGGGCTGGCCCAACTGCCCCGCCCACTCACCTGTGTCCGCCACAGTGACCTCCATCAGCGCGGAGGGCGTCTTCTTCCTCCTCAGCAGCTTTTCCTTGACGAACTGGCGCAGCAGGAGCCAGAAGGTCAGGGTATACAGCAACTGCAATGGGGAGGGCAGTGTCACTGAGGGGCGGGCAGCCTGGCACCCCTCCCAAAGCCAGGGCCCAGGCCAAAAAGATGTGGGCAGGGGGGACCCCAGCAGAAAGGCGGCCAGCCCGGCCCCTTGTTCCTGTAGGAACAAGCTCATCCTGTTGCTTACACACCTGCACACAAGTTCATGCACAAGTGAACACATGTGCACACTAGGCTCATATGTCTGCATATGTTCACACATATGTATGTAGACGTTCATATGTTTGCATGCACAACTGCATACACATACTTGCACACAGGCTCAAACATCTCACACAGTGAGATATGACCCACTGAGGCCCAGAGGCAGCACGTGACACTAACAGAACCTATGCTAGGGAGACTGGACAGTGCCCCCTAAAACACAAGGTCATCACTCACGCACTCCAGCAACTACTCTGGGCTGGCCAACAGGGACCCCGTGGTGACCGCTCAACAAGGGCCTGCCCTCCTGAGCTCCCACTCCATGGGGAGCTGGCCCACAAACAGGATGGCGCTGTCTGGGGTCCTCACGCAGACACCCAAGGCACCAGCACATGCTCACAGGTGCCCCGGAGGGAGGGCACTCACCATGGCACCGAGGTCCAGGCAGGGGTAGCGCGTGTGCTCCAGCCCCAGCTGGCGCAGGCTGACGGGACCCAGCGTGGTGGGCAGCTCCGAGTGCAGGTCCATGGCCCACACGTAGCGCAGGCAGCACAGCGCCAGCCCGTAGAGCAGGATGAAGGGCGAGCAGAGCATGGCCATCTGGTGGCGGCTGCGCACAGTCCAGATGAGGCAGGCCCAGAGCAGCAGCACGAAGGTCAGCCAGCTGTGGTAGGTGATGCTCCACACCTGGTGGCAGGGGCCGGTGGGCATGGCTGCACAATCCACCTGGCCCCGTCCCGACCTGCTCCCCCAGGATGCCGAGGGGCAGGGCCCCAGGGAGGTGCTCAGACAGAAAGGCAAACATGCCCATCGGCCTGGAGCACAGGACACACGCCACCCCACACCACACATGATCACACACATTCATATACAGGCACAAATAGTCTCATACACACACACACACACTCACAATTCATATACGCATATGTTCACATACATACATGCTCACACATATACACATGCTCACATGAACACATGTTCACACATGCTCACACTCATACAAACACACACACACACACACACACACACACACACACGCAGCTGTGGGCTAGCCAGGGTGAATCTTGGCCAGCAGGACACAGCTGCCTTTATTTCTGGTGAGGACGCATCAGGCTGTGAAACATGGGCCACCATCCACCTCGCATACGTGCGAAGGAACCCCCGGGAAAGGCCCACCAGGCTGGCTGCTCCTTACCATCATGGCGATGAGGGCACACACGTAGCTCTGGTCCATGATGAGGTGGCCCAGGCCATGCAGTGGAGATGTCTCTCTTGGCTCAGCCAGCCTGGGGTGCACTAGAGGGTGGTGCCAGGGTTACCTGGGAAGCTCTGACACCAACAGGCCAGACCCCTCACCCACACTTGACTTTGCCCTGTAATGTGGCTGGGGTTGGAGAGCAGCAGCCCAGCGGGAGGAGGCTCCAGGGGCAGAAAAGGCAGGCTCCTATCTGGCACTGCCCCCACTGCCATGTGACTGGGCGTCTTGGCCCTCTCCAGGCTGCCATGTCCAAGGCTCTGAAGAGAAAGAGGGACAAGATGGCCGGGACCCCTCCCACCTCGGTGGCTATGCAAGTCCTCAGGCGCCAGCTTTGAGGCCAGTGATTCAGCTCCTGCTTTGTGCAGGGGCAAGTCACAAAACGGAAATCAAGGCTTCAGGCAGAAAGAACACCCAGAAAATTGCCCAGTCCTACCCAGCCGCCACCTGCCCAGATGACAGACAGCCACCCTGGGCCTCTGGGCCAGCCCAGGGCGGAGCAGTCCAGTTCTCCAGAAACTGGGAGGTAGTTGCCCCCAAAGGTCAGCAGCATGACTCCTGACAAGCACAACTGGAGGGGCCAACATGCGAGACAACCCCGTGGCCACCAGGGGGCAGCAGCAGTGTGCCCACAGAAGGTGATATCCCTAGGCTGCCACGGTGTGTCTACTCACTGGGGCGCTGCTGGACCGGGCTGTGGCTGCTCAGGTCGTGCACGATGCAGTTGTCAGCCTCAGGGTCAGGCATCGTGTGCTGAAGAGGCAAGCCAAGACCTAGTGAGCCAAGCCCACGGGCAGGTGGGCTCACCCCCATCACTCAGCCCAGCCTCCTTACCTGGGTAGCACCCTCCTCCTTGGCGGCTGCACCCCTGGCCTTGTCCTGGGGCCAGTGGTCCACCTCAGTCAGCTCCACCTCCCGCTCCTCGACACCCTCAGCCGCCACCTTTTTCTGCAGAGACCAGAACAGAGCTCAGCCCCCCACCCTGCCCGAGAGCCATGGCCTGACGGGGATGGGGTGTCCAGAGGAGTGAGACAGGGGAGCGCTGGTCCTGGGCGCCCACCTGGCCTGGGGGGTGGTGTGTGCGGAGCTTCAGAAGTGAGGTCACAGTGTAGTACAGGAGCAGCAGGATCCCGGGGCTCACGTACACGGGCCAGTCGTGGCTGGTGTTGAGGGCCAGTGAGTTGGCACTGGAGCAGTTCGTGTGGGCCACGAAGTCCTTAAGGCCGAAAACCCTGCCGAGAAAAGGCATGGCACTGACCCCTGGATGGGAGGAGGGCAGGGAGGAGGGGGCAGAGCAGAACCTGTTCAGATGAGCCCTCACCTGGCCCAGATGCCAGCCGGAGGGAGCATGTCCTGGGCGAAGGGCATCTGGTAGCAGTAGAGGCAGATGAGATGACCGGCGCCAAAGCAGCCCACCATGACGCAGAGTGTGCTGAAGCCCAGGGGGCTGATGGGAAAGTGACAGGCCCACCAGGTGCAGATGCCCAAGAAGAACAGGAAGTAGACGCTGGAGAAGGCCGAGGGGTGGGCAATGCCTGCAGAACCGGACAGAGGCATGCAGGGTCATGCTTGGCCAGGGTGGGGTGACCTCTGTCTCACTGGTCAGCAGGGAACTCGGTAGGTGTGAAAACCCCTCCTGGTGTGACGTTCGGTGCTGGGATCCCCGCTCCCTGCCCAGTGGGTACCTGCCAGCGCGAGCAGCACGAGGGCCAGAATCCGCCCAGCAGCCACCAGCAGCCAGTGAGCTGTGATCCGGAACCGGGCAGCCAGCCTCGACTTCCGCGTGGGGGCCAGCACAGGGGCTCCCTGCAGCCCCACCGGGGAGCCGGTGTCCACTTCCCTGTCATCGTCTTCCTGCCACGGTCACAGAGAGGGATGGAGGTCAGGGGCAGGGCACTCAAGCCACCAGCGCCAAGGGGCTGCCAGCCTGAGTGTGGACTTGTGCTGCCCTTCTTGCCCAAAGCCCACTCACCGCCTTCCCACTGCCTCACCCAAGTTCACAGCCCTGCAGGCCTTCCTGGAGGCAGCCAGCCCAACCCCAAAACACGCTCCTGCCAAGCCCTGGCACACACGATGACTGACCGTGCGGGCTGACTGTGGACTATTCTAGAACCACTCAAGGGCCTCTTCTTTGTCTCCCATCTAAGTTGCCACAGATTTCTGCATGAATCTGTAAAGCCTGGCCCTGCTTAGTGGGCCCCTGAGAGGCCTGCGCGGAGCCCGTGCCTTCCTGCCTCGTCCTGGCTCTCCCTGATGTCCAGGAAACAGCTGCTCCAGGAAGCCTCAAGCTCGGCCACAGGAAGCAGGGTTTTTGGAAAAAGGAAACCAGTATGTGACATGTGCACTTCACTGCCCAGTTACAGAGAACCTTCCACGGCTACACTTGGCTCCAGGGGCTGAACCAGCACTTTCCTATAAGTAAAGAAGCAGCGGCTCAGAGGAGACCCCAAATTACATAGCCGTTTGCATTCTGCTCCCTCTCCACTGCCCAGGGGGCCTCTAGAGAACAAGAGATGGACTCCAGGGGTGTGGCCAGGTGCAAGGGTCTCCTGGGGCCCCCAACAGCTCTTCTGGAAGCCAGCTGCCCAGGAAGATACAGGATGACCCTTCCAGGCCTCCCTTGCCCATGGTGGGGCCAGAGATCCAACAGGGCCTGCTTCCTGTGGCCCTAGCTCCAGGCTTCCTGGAACGGAGCTGCTTCCTGGACATCAGGGAGAGCCAGGACGAGGCAGGAAGATCATGGGCTCCGCATCGATGCCCAGGCCCTGCCCCAGGTCCTCCTCTGCAAAATGCACGCCCTGCCCGTGCCTTTCCCAGCCACTGAGGCAGCACTAGGCATCGGGGCTGAGAGCACAGGCTCAGGCAGCAGGCGACCCGGTCACATCCCAGCTCCGGGGTCTCATAGGCGCAGCCTCCGGCAAGTCACCTAACCTGAGTGTTCCCCTGTCCATCAAATGTGGGTGGGGACCAGACAGGAGAGATGAACCAGACAGGTCCTGTCTTCACAGAGCCTGGCGGGTGGGGTGAGGAGGCCCCAGGGAGGTGTGCGTTGTGCCTGAAAGGAGGGAGGGGCAAGCCAGGAGAATAGGCTACAGGCTATTTAGAACCCTGGGTACCAGAGCAGGCCTCTGAGTTGGAACTTGTAACCAGGGTTCCCTCCAGACCCCAGAATGCAGAAGTTGGAGGCCCCAGATAGCCTGGAAGGGAAAGATGGCTGCTAGAAGGTGGGGCAGCCAGGCCTGAGCTCACCCGCCCACAGCCTGGCCCAGGCCCTGGGAAAGCTTCTGAGAAGGTCTGTGAAAATGAGCATATCTGGGAGTGGAAAAAACAGAGGCGGCAGCTGGGAGAAAGACAGGTGCTGGGGGCTGCGTGTGGTGTCCAGCCTGGCCAGGCCTGGCTCCCGCCCGACTCAGCTCCCACAGGCCATCCCGGGGAGCAGGGCAGACACGTCCCCTCGTCTCCTCACCTCCCCCGCCTCAGAGCATGCACGCACACGGGTATGACCATCAGGACACGTGCACGTCCAGACTGTGGACACCGCGTGTGTGTGTGTGGGGGGCTGCTCCTAGCTCTGGGCTTTAAACCTGGCTTTGCTTTGAGGTCTGCCTATACCCGTAGCCCCTGGGATGTCAGGATGGCACAGCTCTATGCCACTGAGGACACTTGGATGAAGGTGACATTTCCTGGTTGCCCAGCAGACCAGAGCCCAGCCCCGATGGGCAGCATGGAGTGACTGACCCCTCCTGCACATCCAAAGATTTCTGGAATAATCCAGCCCCTTCCCGGCAAAGCTGTGGATCGCTAATGAGGAAACCAGAGGCAGCCCTGGCCCATGCGCACACTGTGCCCACGTGCTCCTGTGGGGAAGGTGAGGGCCAACTCTGCTGGGAGGGGGCCCCAAGAGCAGGGAGGAGGGAAGTCCCAGCCCTGGCTCAACCCCCCACAAAGGCCTGGAAAAGCCACTCAATCTCCAGGTCCCTCTGAAACGTTGGTGCCAGCCTTGCCCCACGGATGGGGCAGCAGCAGACGGGACAATAGGCTGGGTGAGCTGCAGGCTGACTCGCCCTGACCTGCTGGCTCCCCTCCACAGGCTCTTTTGTAGGTCGAGGCCCTCATGCCCCATGAGCCTTAGCTACTGAACAAAGGGATTCTGGGGATGGGGGGTGGAGAGCCTGTGGCCCCCAGGAGGTTCTTATGCCGGGACCCCTGCACAGTCACAGATCCCGCCCAGCCCTCAGACCAGGCCCTACTGGAGGGAGGGCCCAGGCAGGGACCCCAGCACATGCCCTGCCCAGGCAGGACCCCCTAACCGAGGGCAAAGCCCTCTAAGGACAGTGTCTGGCTTAGGGCCTTGCCGGCCTGAGCCTACGCAGCCCCCACCGGGCCCACAAGCCCACGGACGCTGCTATGGATGTGGCTTCTCAAACATCCACCCCTGTGTCCATCAGTCCATCTGTCTGTCAGTCCCTAGGTCTCCCTGATGGTTGGCGCAGACCTTCCTCCAGCACTGCTGACTCCCTCCTGCCCTGTGGACCCAAAGAATCTCCTCCAGGATGGTCCCTAAGGGCACGGACACTGTCTGGGTGCCCCGCAGGGTCCTCCAAGAGGGGCCCTGCCAGGACCATGCCACATCGCTAGCGCCCCCCTCCCATGAGACACGCATCTTCTCTCCCCTCTGGGATCCCGTCTTTTCATAACTAGCACATATTCACTCTTACAAATAAAATTCCACATTTGTTAAAATAGAAAAAAAGAGATAAATAATCCTCAACTGTCCGGATCCCAGCTCTAGAACGCCCCTCCCCCCACACGCGCATTCTGCCCGCCACAGCTCACCGGCTCCTGGCAGGGCTGACTCCGCCGGGCTTCCCGTGTGAGGCGCCGACAGAGGCCAAGGCACACAGCAGAGACCACCAGGATGCCCAGGTCGGGGGCCACCAGCCGCACGGCATTGGGGATGTCCTTCAGGTCCAGCCTGTGAAGGGCAGGAGAGTCCATTGGTCAGCCCAGGAGGGCGGGTGCCAGCAGGGAGGGTGGGGGCCCTCCCCCTGGGCCTGGAAATCCCCGGTGGAGGCAGAGGGGGTCTTACCTCGTGACCCCGACAAGTCGGGAGAGGTTCTCCCAGTGGCTGCCTGCGGAGAAAGGCACCGGGGAACCGGGTCAGGCAGGTGGGCTCTGAACACGCCCCTGGGAGCCCCAGAGGCACGGAATGCCTGGTGTCCGGGGCTCCTGTGGCTGGTATCAGGGATGCTCAAAAACAGTCTGTACTGAGAGGGAAACTGAGGCCTAGCCGGAGAGCCAGGTGGAGCAAAGGACTTCAGTTGTGCCCGGCAGGGCCCCAGTGGCCGGGCGGCTGGGCCAGGCTCTCGGACCCATCAGCAGAGCCGGCTGCTCCTTGGGGGCTGGACTGGGGAGGCCTGGTCTCAGAGCCACCAGGACCAGGACCGGCGCAAGGCACCTGACTTCCCTCCAGTTTCTAACGTGCAGGCGGCGCACATTCATCACAGAATCAATGGGAAGTCGGTGCACGCCCGGCCTGCCATGTGGGACCTGGAGGGAGACCCTAGCCAGGCAGGACTGGGAGCCTAGGGCTCCCTCGCCTGAAGGCTGGGGTGTTGGCGCCAATGGAGCTGGAGGGCTGGGGGCCAGCTGGCGATACCGGCCGTGCGTGAAAGTGCACAGGCAGTGTCTCCAACCCCAGCAGGGGAAGAAGATGCTGACAGAGGGGAGGACCTGAGGAGACCAGGGCTGCCCCCAGAACCGGACTCCAGCCCAGCCCCACGGTCGGCCATTACTGGGGCGCTTTACTCGGGCCATCTCGGCTGGACAGAAATCAGACAGGTGCCCGGATGGCCATTAGGCAAAGCCTGGGTGAGACAGGGCAGCCAAGCTCCCAAGGAGACCTGAGGTGCCTGCAGGGCTGCGGTGGCTCTCTCTCCCCTCCCGCCTCCAGTTAGCCACTAGCTCGGCCTCAGGCCTGCTGCTCCAGGCCCCCCTCCCCGCCCTCTCAGCAACTCACAGTTCGACCCCAGAAACTGGTCCAGGCCAGGCACAGTGTGCAGGCATATCTGGAAGGTAAGGTGGGCTGCCAGGAAGAGGAGGCTGAGGACCAACAGCGCGCGGAGGAGGCGGCCGGTGTGACCTGTGGGCAGAGAAAGGGGTGAGGCCAGCCCTGAGCCAGGCCCCGTCAGCCAGCCCTGGACACACCCCGACCGTGCCATGGGGTCCGGGGGGCCGTCGGCAGCTGCTCTCATGCAGTGCTCTGTACCATCTCACTGACCACTCACAAGGGCCCCGTGGTTGGGCACTATCATCAATCCCAATTTATGGACACAAACGAGGTGACGGGACTTCCCAGTCACAAAGCAGGGAACAAGGGCACAGCACAGCAGCCCGCCTGCTGCCTGGGGCTGAGGGACAGCTGGGGGCAGGAGCCAGCACAGAAAGGAGAGGCCCCACACTTAGGGGGTATTTCCTGTCCATCAAATGTCGGGGGGTGGTTTGTTCACGGGTCCGGCAAACATGTGTGTCACTGCTTGGCCTTGGCCACAGAGCGCGCCTTCACCCCCCGGGGGGACTGAAAACAGACACCAGGGGTGATGGGTGGAGGGGGGCAGGGCTGGGCCTGTGTCTTCAGGAAGATTTTTTTTTGCGGGGACAGCCTCCCTCTCCTGGGGTGTCATGCAGCTAAATACCCCCCGTGTGTGTGTGGAACGAGTCACTGCAGAAAGGAATGAAGCTGCCGCGTGCCGGTGCCTGCTGGGCCCGGCGGGGCTGAGCGCCTCACAGGCCTCACTTCACCATCCCGGGGCCCACCTGTGGGAGGGCCCTGAGGAGACCAGGGCTGCCCAAGAGCCGGACTCCAGCCCAGACCCACGGTCAGTCATTACTGGGCACTTTACTTGAGCCATCTCGGCTGGACATAAATCACGGACAGGCAGCCTCAACAGGTGCCCTCTCCCCTCCTCACCTGCGGGCCAGGCAAACACAGCAGGGCTGAGTCCCCCGGGCGGGAGGCCTTGGCTGCAGGAAGGGGCTGGGCAGCCCACTCTGTGCAGAGGCCAGCACCACAGACCTCCACTCGGTTCTCACTGTCGCCCTCTGAGCTCTGAATCTGGGGTTCAGGACACCAGCTGTGCCAGCCCCTGGGCTTTTGGCAGGAGCCCCCAGCCCTCACCCCTGCTGGCGGGCTGCTTTGCTAACGACAACTTGCAGAGCAGCTGCCCCTCTGCCAGCTGCAGGGGGACAGCTGGAGTCACCATTAAACCAGCTTTTTCTCCTGCCCAGAGGGTGGCAAGCAGAGGGCCCATGTCCCTTTTGCTCACTACCTTTCAGCACAATCACTGTTTGTTGAACAGACTCAGGGCTCCCCATCTCCCCTCCCCCAGGGCTGGCCCAGCAGGTGGCACTTCTGGAGTGACATGTGGGCGCACATGGTGGAGGACGAGTCCGTCATCATTCACCCGCTGTCTTGCCTGATTTTACCAAGGGAAGCTGGGCTCAGAGAGGGCACGGGGCGCCTTCGGGCAGCCCAGAGAGGCACCAGGCAGGACCTAGACAGCTGCTTCGCCTCACTCATTTCGAGGTCCCTCCCAGCCCTGACATCGGACCCTTGGATTACAGCCTCTGACCTGCAGCAGGCAGGGGTGAGCAAGGAGAGCAGGGTGGAGCTGGTGGAAGAAACCACCCCCCGGCAGGAAGGAGAAATGGAAAATGAATGGGAGAGTCTGGCCCTGGGTCCTGGCTGGGCCCCTCTGCTCACAGCCTCAGGCCAAGAGGAGGGAGAGGCCACAGGCCTCCCTGCAGGAGGACCGAGCTGCCCGTGGGGCGTTGTGCAGGGTTCCTCCCTACCAGGAACCCACAGGAGCCACAGGGTGAGGAGCAGAGCTTCCCCGCCACTCCTCAGCCTCCCCTCTGCCTGCCTCGCCTGCATGGTTCTCCTGCAGGTCTGGGAAGTTCCAATGATGACGTGGTGGGAGGGTGCCTGCCCGGGGCCACCCCGTCCATTCCATGGACTCACCCTGCTCCCAAGCCATGAAGACCTGAGGCTGACCTTGCGGTGCTTTCAAGACTGATGGGCTCCTGGTGCACGCCAAGGCCTGAAGGTCGGGGAGGGAAGCACCAGGCCTCAGGCCCGTCAGCAGGAGAGTGCGATGAACCGCCCACCTGGCTCGCGCCTGACAGCCTTCCTATCCCACACCCAGGGCATCGCCTGGCAGGCACAGCAGATGTCAGCACTTCCCACCATCTTGCCCTCCCCTTCCCGGTTCATTTCTCAGTTGGCTGCAGTGTCTTGGAACTGCCTGGCCCCCTGCCTGGCACTCAACACACCGCCTATCAAAGCTGGGCTGCTCTCCCACCTGCCCAAGCCCCACTGAGCTGGGAGCAACGAATCCCCTGGGCCTGGGAATTCACATGTGGATGGCGGGCAGCAGGGATGAGCCAACCCACAGGGCAGCTCTGGCTCTGGCTAAGCAGGGGTTCAGGCAGGTGAGGGATTCCTGCATCTGCTCAGGAGGGAAGAGGGGTGCAGCCGGGGCCCATCCCATTACAGATGTTGAAAACAGATCCCTGTAGACTCCGAGGTTCAGCCCTGAGTATCAGGAATGGCTGCCATTAGCAGGCGGAGGAGAAGGGAGCTGGGGGAGTCGGGAGGAGGCTCATCTGTTACAGCCGCTGGGAGGTGCTGCCTGCCCTCTCCCCTGGGGACCTTCTGTCACTCACTTGCCAGGCAAGGCTCGCACATAGAAGGACAAGGCCCTGCCCTTGCAAGGCAGGTAGCCCCACCGTTGTGCCTGGCAACGGGGTGGTTGGGCACAAATAATGCCCACCCTGCAGGGGCTGGAGCTCCCACTTAGGGCTTTACGCTCAGGCAGGAAACTCCAGAGAAACAGGAGGAGGGGCCAGGAGGCTGTGGCCCAGGACCGGGGGAGGGCTCCTCCCAGAGAGGGGCTTGTAAAGGAGCATCTGTCTGACCTAGACACGGAGCCCCCTAAAATCGGCTGATGGTGGCTGCTCAGTCCGCAAAGGCTCCAGAGGGTCCTCAGCAGGGTCCCGACCCCCACTGCCCATCCAGCCGCAGTTCATGGACCCCCGGCCTTCCACCCTCGTATTCCCTCTGAACTGCCGTCCACAAGGCCCGGCTCACACTGCCCTCTTTGGGGCAGCCCAGTCCCTTGCAGATGTGGTGCCAGCCCAGGGCCAAGGTCCTAGGCTGTGATCCCCCCCCCCCCCCACACACACACAATGTGGGCAAGAGCCAAGCATGGTGGGTGGGGTATGCGTGGAGACCCCTTGGGGTGGCACAGGGGTGTTCCAGGAAGTGCTTTGAGAAGCCAAGGGAAGGGGCATCTTCCAGTTGTCCAAGGTCCCATCTCATCCAGGAGGGTCCAGAGAGGCGGGGTAGAATGGAGACAGGGCAGGGGCAAACCAAAGTCTGAACATCGAGGCTGGGGCCGTCATCTGCTCTCTGAGAGCTGGGCAGGATGATGGGACTTACACATGGGGCCCCTCATCCCATCATCCAACAGACGTTAGGGATCCTCAGGTCCTCAGCCCTTCACACAGCACCTGAGTCAGGGCAAAGGCCCGGGGCCCACCGGGCAGGGCAGCATGAGGGGTCTTGTCCTAAGGCAGGAATGGGCTCCCTGAGTCCCTGCATGTTAATCTGGTCACAGGGAGCTGACCCTCGTCCCTGAAGCTTCTGTTGTACCACCGCCCTGCGGTGACCTCCATGGCACATGGCCCACGCCCACCAGCCCTGCCCCTGCTTGGCAGCCCCTAGTGGCCAATGAAGGAATTGGAATTTCCTGAGGAAACCGGCAACACCTCTGGGATCCTCCCCTTCCTGCACTGGAGATCCACCCTGGCTCCCTGTGGTCAGGCCCATGCCCCTGTGGGGATGGGGCCAGGGATCAGTGCCTATGGGCCGGGCAGCTTCAGACCTCATCCAGGTGCCAGCGCCAAGGCCAGGCCACACAACTCAGGAACCCGGGGCCAGGCGTTCAGGCAGGGGCAGGCCTCCCACCTTCCCCTTTCCCGCCCAGAAAAGCCCAGTCTCCCTGTCCCTGATGGGCCTCCAAGGCCCAGAGATGGCCTGACAGAGGCCAGGAGGGGGTCTCCCAGCGCCTAACCCTCCCCAATCCGGACTGCTCCTGCCTCGGCCCTGGCGGGAACATGCGCTCCCTCCGCTGCAGATCCAAGGAGTGTGTTTCCTGTCACATAAGGGCATGAAGTATTTACTGAAATATTTACAGGACAAGCAGCTTTGAGCTGAGGGCTTGGGAACAAACAGAACTGGCTCCACAGAGAAAAGAGAACGGCATGGGTGCAGACTCTGCCCAGTAGACCCTCCCCTAGGGAGGGGAGGGAAGAGAAGGGAAGGGGAGGGCATGGGGGCCAGCTGGCCTGAGCTGGGAGTCTGGGGCAGACTGCTGAGTCAGCCTGGGAGGGGTCTGGCTTTGTCCCCAGCAGCTCCCAGCCTGTGCCTGTGCTGGGCCCCTCCCCTTCCCGCACCTGAACTAACCCTGTGTTCTAAGACCAACCAGAGCCCTCTGCAAACACCCAAGCAAGGAGGCAGCCTGATGGGGCGGTTAGAGCCAGAGTGACAGGCCAGGGAGGGGGACTGCTGGGAGGCAGAATGCTTCCTCTTGGGACATCCTAGCACAGTGCCTGGACCCCGTGGGAGAGTTTCCTTACACAGTGAAGGGGAATCAGATTGCCAGGCAACTGACCGTAAAACAGGCTGATCGTGGGTCCCTGGGTGGGCCCAGGGCAATCACAGGGCCCTAACCCTGGGAGAGGGGCAGGAGGGTCGGAGTCGGGGTGATGGAGTGACAACCGAGCAGCCATTGCGGCCTGGAGGATGGAGAGAGGAGAGGAGGGACCAGAAGCAGGAGGCCCGCGCTCACCCCTCCCCTCTGACACGGGTGCTGAGATGGGACAACAGCCTTCTGCTCCCAGCCCCTCTTGGACGGGTCCCTGCTGTGGGCCGCACTGTCCCACCCCTCCAGTGGGCACAGCTCCCTGATGGGTTTTCCTACATCTGTCTGTGTGGCGGGCACAGAAGACTGAGACAGTGCCCACCCTCCAGAGCTCAGGACTAGAGCTACCCACCAGCTGTGCCGTGACGCCCGGACTAGGAGGTGTTCAGAGGCGCGCTGAGGCCCTGGAGTGCTGGGTGGACACGGGTGGAGCCTGCCTATGACTGGGGGCAGGGAGCGTCAATGTGCTTGCTGGACTTTAGGGCCGGAGCCTCGCTGGGTGAGGGGAATGCCTGGATGGTGCTGGGACAGGGGAGGGGAGGGGAGAACGAGCGGCAGGAAGACTGGCCAGCCCACAGCCCTGGACCTGAGCCTCAGGGTCAGGGGACTCCGCCCAGTGATCCTCCATTACCTTCAGCAAGCCCCTGTAACACACGGTCAGAAAAGAGATTCTGAAGTTAGCAGGGGCCGATGATGAAAATGAGACCTGGGACCACGCAGGCGTTACCCACAGCTGTTAAGCCACAGAAGTTCTTTGCTGCCCAGGGTTTCAACACCTGAGGAGGACCCAACACCGCCCTCCCTCGGGGTGCCTGGGCTGGGCGCACCTGGACAGAGCTCTGAGCCCTAAGCCTCCCCCTCCAGGCAGGAGTCACTGCCTGGCCCTTACCTCGGATGCTGTGCCGGGAGGGGCCCGGGAACCAGGGCAGTAGCAGCAGGAACAGCAGGTAGACCAGCGAGAGCGCATTGGAGCGGAGCAGGCAGGCTGCAGAGGGAGACACATGGTTAGCAGGGCTGCCCGCAGGGGAACGGCCGGTCCCATGCCCTCTCACTGTCCCCCCGACAAAGCCTCCTGAACATCATCCTCAAAACTTCACCCCCCAGAACACTGCCCCCCCATCCATGCTTGTCATTCCTGTGAGGCTGCTCACGCCCTGCATATGCCGGCCACCTTGTTCATCACGACGTCACCTGTCCCTTGGGACTCATGTGCTGTCACACTGTCCCAGACAACATGCCACCTGTTCCTTAGTGCACGTCCACGGTCACACCGTGTCCCCAGACAACACGGGACACTTCCCGACACTTGGTGCATGCACGCTGCCGCTCGGCCCTCCTAGCAGTCTGCTCGCCACCGTTACATGTTGGGGATCGTCCCTGCGGAAACCTGCGGTTCTCATCGTGTCCGTGTGTCCCAGGCACACACCACAAAGCCCTACCCATCCTCCTGTGGGCAGACACAGGTGGTGACTGATCTCCTAGTTTGCTTTCTCTCCTTTAAAAATTTTTATACTTTTAAAAAAATATATATATATATTATTATTGCTGCTGCCTGCACCCCCCCCACTGGGGATCGAGCCCGAAACCTGGACATGTGTCCTTGACCGGAATTGAACCCAGGATTCTTCAGTCTGTGGCTGATGCTCTATCCACTGGACCACACCAGCCAGGGCAAAATTTTTTATATTTTTAATGAACATACAGCATATTTGGCTTTTGGGGTCCAGCTCCCTGAGCTTTCACTTGTGCAAAGTCATGTGGACTCACCCCAGTCTCTGGACTAGTCTCTGTGGCTGTGCCTTCCACAGCACATGGCACGTCACATGCGTGAACTGCCCAGCACCGAGCGCTTGGTCTGGCTCCCACCCGTCTCTGTCATTAGCTCGCTCCTGCCTTTCCTCTTATTAATCCAACATGCCTCTCCGCCCTGTGGGCACTTTCCTGAGTCTCACCCTGTTGGACACTCTTAATAAAGTGCAGCAGGGTGGCTGGGCGACCTCCCTGCCCCCAGGAATTGCGGGTGATCAAGACTCTCACCCCCAAGCTCTCGGCCCCTGTGGGCAGCTCGCGCTCTTCAGGCCTGTCCGGCATCTGTACGATGGGGTTAAAACTACCTGCCCAAAGCGTCGTCAGGAGGGTTAAACTGAATCACAGATGTGAGGGGCCAAGGGCAGGGCTGAGATGCAGGGTTTAGTTCCCTCCTACCTACCCCCTGACTAAGCCCCTTCTATCACCCAGCAACACGGAAACCCAGAACCACATGGTCAGCGCTATGGTCACAAGCTCCGGGTGACCCGCCTCCCTTTCTGGACACTGCAGCATGCTCCCAGGCCCTGGGGAGCTGTCCCCAAAGTTAAGATGCCTCCTCCTTCCATTACACACACTGGCTATAGTGATCAGCTCAACTCTAAATCTAAAGTTTTTCAATTTTCATTTTTAAAAAATCAATCTGATCTGGCCCAAGAGGCAGAAGGGAAATGCACTTATGGAAAAGGCTTCTAAGGTCCCTGTGTGTTTTCCAGAGCTGCACTCTTCAGACCCCAGAGCACTGCCTCTTCGCCCCCCCCTCCCCCGTGCCAGCCCCAGGCCTGCCCCCGAGAGCCGGCACCCCACCCCTCTGTACCTGCCTGGCGAGAGCCTCTCCAGCCAGGGGATATCCAGCCAGCCATTCACCAGCCATTCACCAGCCGTTCACCCAGCCGTTCACCCAGTCTTTCATCCACCCACCCACCTTTCTGTCAGAGTAACTCTCTCCTGAGAACCTATTCTGCAGGTCCCTGCCCTCGGGCACTCATGTTCTGATCTGCCAGGGACGCCAGACACTGAGCAAGTGTACATGCACCAAGGATGGCATCAAAAGCCCATGACAGGGGATCTGATGTGAAGTAGGCACCAGGGAAGCTTCTGGAAGCAGGGGGACAGCTCTGAGGAGGAGGGACAGGTCCTCACTGACACAAATCTGCAGGCTCCGGGCTCTGTAAGAGAGCCCGAGGCTGGGCAGGGGGAATGCAGTTAGTGTTTAATGGGTGCAGAGTTCCAGTTTAGGCTGACGACAAAGTCCTGTGGATGGATGGTGGTGGCGCATTACTGAGAGCATACTTAAATATGTATGTGTATGTGTGTGTGTGTGTGTGTGTGTGTGTGTGTGTGAGTGTATCTATAATGATAAAAGCATAATATGCTAATTAGATCAGAGGGCCAAACGACCTTCTGGATGACATTCCAGACAAC